CAGGTTATCGATATAAGTCACGTTTAAACGGGCTTTACCAAACCCCTTATATGTATAACGTCATGTCTCGTGAAAAATACATAAGAGAGATTAGTTGTACTTGATGTACATATATATAATAAAGTGTATATGATATGGCTTTTTCAATATCACACACCATATCAACCCTTAACCAATATAACTTCCCTCGAGCAGAGCTCTCGTGATTATCTTGGTGTCTCGGGTTGATACAGGTGTGATATTGAAAAAGCTATATGATATTATCTATATAACATGTCATTTTTTTCATATCAGATGCATTATCAGCCTTCGGCTCTTAGGCTGACATTGAACCTTGGGGTGATAATACATCTGATATGAACAATGCTATGTAATAATCTGATAATATGATATAAGGGACTAGATGATTAATAAAAGGATAATCTTACTATTTTTTTGTAAAAGAAAATAAAAAATGGATATTGAACTTTTGTTTTGTGTATCTTCTGTAATGATATAAAAGTGATATAAAAAATTTTGTACTTGCAAACTCAGGTTTTGAACATGTCAGCTTATGTGGAACACATAGGTTTTAAGGCATTGAACAAGATGACTCAAACCAGTAGACTCCTATCATTTTCCTGATTACATATGGATAAAAGTGTTATTTTTCAATGATATCTCCTGTTTCATAAATCTTTAAACTTAGATCATAAAAAAATGATAAAAAAACTGTAATAGAACGCCAAGTCGCAACCTTTCCTCCCAGCCCCGAGGTAAAGAAAACTCAATACGTACACTGATTTGACAATCCCGATGTATCGAAGCCGGTCATAATTTTTACTGCACAAGATGAGGATTTTTTTACAAATTTAAAATGTCTCTTTTAGGATCAAATCCAAAGGACTTTTATATAGAGTTTGAAAGTCAGCATCCAAGTTAACACTTCAATAACTTCTTTATAAATGAGTTCAATCCTATAATTATTCTCGACATTTTTTAAAATTTTTGTGCCAAATGTACAGAAGTAAAGGGCGTGCGTCCGTTAGTCTGCTCAGTGTCATGTTAAAATTTGTAATAAAGGTTATTTACCATGAAGTTTGGTTACATGTAAATTATGATTTGATCTTTCGAATTATTTACAAAATTACTGTTTTGTCCCCAATTTAATGGTTCACAGAACATAGAAATGTGGTAGTGCGAAATAAGTACATTCTCAGGTGATGGTTTTTGGTTAAGTAGATTCCCTCAGCACATGTGAAAATGAACTATTCGTGTTGTCAAGACCTACAAACTTAGTCCATTTTGAACTAGTTCACAGGGTAACAGTCATTATTCCCGAATCGATACGAGTTGAAGAGTCTTCGTTCTAGTAAGATGTGTGCTTTGGGCAAAGCGGAAAATAATAAAATCAAGTTTTTTTGTTAACCCCAAAGGGATTATGTTTTTTTTTTGCAAGTAAAAAGCGAGTATACGTTATGGTGGTGGTACCGACAACTATGTAGCTGGTATTTTCTAAACAATGCCCGTAATATAAAAAGTTCCTCTACGTTTACACCAGTTGAATGTATTTATCGTACACATACATGTCTTACAGGATTAAAAATTCCGCTGCATGTGTATTCTTCTTGCTTTTATTCTTTATGTAGTTTTTAAAATGCATACATAGAAAGACCAATCCCTATATGTTAACTTTGTCCCTCACTCTCTCTGTTTTTTTTTTGTTTTTTTTTTTGTGATAACGACGTGGATGCACGTGCTGCCGTGCCTCCGGGTAGCTACGCTCCTGTTTCAACGTGAAATCGACCAAATGTTTACACATATTGAATAAGAGGCAAACAAAATATTCTGTAATGACCCAATCACGTTTAAGGATGTTCGCTACTCTGTTTTAGCAAAATAACAAGCTTTTTAAAAGACTGTTATAAATTGATAGTATGTGAATAAAGGGACTTTAAAAGCAGAAAAAAATGAAGGGTACGTGTGCTTGTTTTTGAGATATAAGCTTTTGAAAATTTGGCGGGAATGATTCTCTATAGTTTTTCATACATTTAACCTTTTTTCTTTCAAAAACTATGAAAAAATAACAAGGATTTTATCATATTTTGAAATAAACTGTTATCACAGAGATATGTCTCGTTTTTTTGTAATTTTGATTATGCAAATGTTGAAATTAAAATAGCATTACTTTAACATGTAAGTTATGCAAATATTCAAAGTCAAAGAACGATGACTGAGGTACTTGACTGAACAATCTCCATGAAAATGAGATGTGCCAATACTAATACAACTGCATACCAAATACCGTTGATCTGTTATAAGTCGTTCCCTTTAAACAAACCTAAACACAAACATTCACTTGTAAACTATCGTGTAAAAGTCTCAAAGTCAATGAACCATGAAGAGGGGTGGGGCTATATAATCACCATGGAAACGATACTTGCAAATGCCAATAAATTTGCATACCAAATATCATTGACTTAACATTAGCAGTTGATCATAAACTGATCTAATCACAAACTAATACATGTAAACTAAGCAAAAGTTTCAAAGTCGATAGACCATAACTGAGGGGGCGGGGCCAAATATTCTCCATGGAAATGAGATGTGCAAGTCCTTATACAACTGAATACCAATTAACATTGGCCTACCACTAATGGTTCCCCTTGAACGGACCTAATCAAAAACTAATACATGTCAACTAAGCAAAATTTTCAAAGTCAATAGACCATGACTAAGGGGGCGGAGCCATATAATCTCCATGAAAATGAGATATGCCAATGCTTATACAACTGCATACCAAATATCATTGACCTACCACTAGTGGTTCTCCATAAACTGATCTAATCAAAACTAACACATGTAAACTAAGCAAAAGTTTCAAAGTCAATAGACCATGACTGAGGGGGCAGGGCCAAATAATCTCCATGGAAATGAGATGTGCCAATGCTAATACAACTGCATACCAAATATAATTGACCTACCAATTGAGATTCACAATAAACTAGACCTAATTGCAAACTAAAAATTGTTGACGCCGCCGCCGACGCCGGAAACAGCATACCTATGTCTCGCTTTTTTACTCCGTCAAGGCGAGACAAAAATGGATTTTTAAACTATATGAACTAAAATTATATAAAGAAACATAAAGGTTAGTGGGCAAAATTTTTATTGGCATTACATTGATAAAAAGAGGATTCCGAATATCAAACAGAAAGTCAAAAACAAGAGTAGCGAACATCCTTAAGTCATATTCAGGCATTTGCAGATATGTTAATCATATTAGAATTATTCAGTGAAAAAATCACCCCAAGTTTTGATGGGGTTCGTGTTGCTCAGTCTTTAGTTTTCTATGTTGTGTTTTATGTACTGTTGTCTGTCTGTCTGTTTGTCTTTTTCTTTTTTTGGCCATGACGTTGTCTGTTTACTTTCGACTAATGATTTTGAATGTCCCTTTGGCCTTTGGTATCTTTCTCCTCTTTTTTTTAACTACATGTACCAATTGTGTCAAGATACATATTTTTTACACCTAAGACAGGAAACACAGATTTTTTAAGTTAAATAACTCTAATCTTTAGGCGAACAATTTTAAAGGGATCAGAATTAACCCCTTTAAGTTGTGAATGCAATAGCTGCCTTTTCATCAGATCATGGACAATTGAGAGAGAGAGAGAGAGAGAGAGAGAGAGAGAGAGAGAGAGAGAGAGAGAAAGAGAGAGAGAGAGAAAGAGAGAGAGAGAGAGAGAGAGAGAGACTTTGGTTGCCTAACTATCACTTCGACTAATTAAGTTATCTGTATAGAAATGTTTTGTGTCTCTTTGACACATTCCCCATTTCTGTTCTAATTTTTATTTGTGGTCAATAAATCAAAATCACCTGTTAGTTATCAAAAGAATCGGTGCCACATGTGGAGCAGGATCTCCCTTTTTGAGTACCCGATATCACACCAGATTTAGAATGGGATTTGTGTTGCTCAGTCTTTAGTTTAATACCTTGAGTGTTATAGACTGTTGTTTGTCCTTTGGTCTTTTTTCATTTGCTGCCACTCCAGTGTCATTTGTTTTCGTCTTATGAGACTGGAGTCGGTTTCATAAAAGACTAAGATTGGTCGTAAGCCATGAACAACTCAGTATACTTACGATCAGTCTTAGTCGTTTTTGTGAAACTGACTCCTGGATTTACTTTTTGTATCATCCGCCTCACTTGTAAAAGAATTGCTGTTTTAAGGTAAATAAACTGTATATCGCCATCTTGGATTGTAAAATAGTCTAGTTCTTTGCTTAATTCTGCAAATTTTGAGACAGATTGACAATTAATGGGTTATACTGTTTATTGGAATAAAGAAAAATAAGTGATTTATTGCAGTAATCAAACTGATTTATCAAATACCAAATATTTGTGTTTGTTCGAATCAAATTATCAACTTAGCCTTTTAAGGGGGGACAACTCAAATAGTAATTTTTTTTTATAAAATTCTTAATTTTTACTAGTAGCAAGAATACAAGGTCGGTGACACCTTTTTTTCTCTTCATTTCCTAAAAGCATATTTTAAAACCTGTCGTATTTTATCTCATAGATTTCTTTTTATTCACAAAAATGTTTTTTCATGAACAATCTTTGCAAATTTTGGCAATTTTGCACGACTAGTAGCTTGAAAAATAGCATTGTGACACATACTTTTAATTATATTTTTGAAAAATATCATGGAAAAAATGAGAAAATTCTATCTGAAGAAATATATACCAATGATCAACCTTAAAATATATCTAAATTGCAATGGTTGCTAAGAAAGCAACTTGTTTGTATTATCGGGTTGTTTCCTTATTGACGTATATCCTAGTTCTCCAAATAGAAATAAAGTTTGATTTGGATTAAGCATTACAACATTCGGTTATAAATTGCTTTTCAAAACGTATATCTTTGCACACCAACTTTTCTTTTCTGAACAATTTAGTCACGACGAATTGTATATTTATAGATATAGCAGGGCAGTTCAACGACTTTTTATTATTTCTTCATAGAACCGCTTCCAAGTAAAACGTGTATGAAAGATGTGTCATTCAAGAAACAGACAGGTCAAAGTTCAACCTATTCATCGAGATACCCTTCACGTTATGGTGTTGACCACAGTCTATATACAATGTTTCATACGGGTTATGACCAGGATCCATATTGGTGGGTATTCCTTGGAAGACCCTACTCAGTTCATTATGTCGAAATATGGAATAGAAAAACTGTAGGTAAGTAAATTAATCCCTGATGTTTGCAAAAATGTACAAAATTGGGAATAAAAATACTGGAAATGAAAATACCCATATCTATTAAAATAATATTCAATGGTCATGTTATCTTAATATCAATCTGATTAAAATTCAGATCTGTCGTAACTCGCTTACGAGCATAACGAAATCAGAGATATTTTAATTAGATTGTCTGAATATCGAATTGATGATGAATGGCTGATTTGTTCAATGCACTTTGCAAATGATAGCGGATTGTTGAACAAGGTTATACGTGTTATATGGAACTGGGCCCTCGGTCATAAAACTTTACTCAGTACTCCGAGTACAAAAATTGTGCTCGAAACACCAAATCCAGTATTTGGATTAGTTGATTTCTGAGTCTGAGTAGGAAAATCGTGCTCGAAATTTTTAGGACCGCAAGGCCTGAACTTTCTTTTATGAAGAAAAAAACTGTTCGGAAGTATTTAAAGAAGTTTTTGAGACAAGGGGTTAGATGAACTATTAAAACAAACGAGGATGGCAAATCGTCTTAATGCAAACATGATAAAAAAAGGGTGTTTTTACTAAAATACGAAACAAAATCGAAACGAAACGAAATATTTAACGTTTGATAAGTTTACTTAAAAAAATTCTAAAACGTAAATTGAAGGGTAACCAACATTCTCCAAGAAGGTAATGAATCGCAAACAAATTGTATACAGCATTCTCCAAGAAGGTAATGAATCGCGGACAAACAGTTCTAACTGTATACGGCATTCTCCAAGAAGGTAATGAATCGGGGACAAACTGTATACGACATTCTCCAAGAAGTTAATGAATCGCGGTCAACTGTAAACGGCATTCTCAAAGAAGGTAATGAATCGCGGACAAACTGTATACGACATTCTCCAAGAATGTAATGAATCGCGGACAAACTATACTACATTCTCCAAGAAGGCAATTAATCGCTGACAAACTGTGTATACACATGACATTCTCTAAGAAAGCAATGAATCGCTGAATAACTGTATACGACATTCTCCAAGAAGGTAATGAATCGCAGACAAAACTGTATACGACATTCTCCAAGAAGGTTATGAATCGCGGAAAAACTGTATATGGCATTCTCCAAGAAGGTAATGAATCGCGGACAAACTGTATACGACATTCTCCAAGAAGGTAATGAATCGCGGACAAACTGTATACGACATTCTCCAAGAAGGTTATGAATCGCGGACAATATAAAAATCCCAGGACATACACCCTAAAGAACAAAACTCTTTATCTAAATATTTCTTTCTCTTGCATGAAAAAGCACAGATTTGCTATTATGTGTTAGACTGTTAATTTGGAATAAGGAAAAAATATGTGATTTATTGCATTATTTAGACTGATTTAACAAATACCAAACATTTGTGTTTGTTTGAAACAAATTGTCAATTTGACCATTTCAGGGAAGATAACTCAGATAGTAAAATGTTTATAAAGGAATGATAGAGAAATTTTCAATTTTTACTTAGCAAAAAAAAAAGGTCGGTGGCACCATTTTTTATTTCTATTTTTCTAACATTTTCGCTTCTGAATTAAATTTTTTCGCGGGATTTCATGGCCGAAATTTATTTGCACGAACCGTTTGCCTGACCGGAATTAATTTGACATGTGCTACAACAAAAACGACCTCGTAGTTTTGGTCATTGAAATCTCAAGAACCGTTGCGAGTTATGCGGTAAAATTTTGAAAAAATAAAGATAAATATCACAGGTTGAGCGTCCATAAACTTTTCAAAGAGTAATAAGCAGTTTTTCTTTAAAAAAAAAGTAAAATCACAAAAATATTGAACTCCGAGGAAAATTCAAAAAGGAAAGTCCCCAATCAAATGGCAAAATAAAAAAAAAAAAACACACACATCAAACGAATGGATAACAACTGTCATATTCCTGACTTGGTACAGGCAATTTCTTATGTAGAAAATGGTGGATTGAACCTGGTTTTATAGCTAGCTAAACCTCTCACTTATATGACAGTCGCATCAAATTCCATTATATTGACAACGATGCGTGAACAAAACAAACAGACACAATAGGTAAAAATGTCAAAAATAGGGGTACAGCAGTCAACATTGTGTTATCATCTTAATCACCATAAAAACAAACAAATGTAACGAAGAAGCAAAAAAAGGCATACATCAAATTTTAAATCCTCATTTTGCTTATATTATACATTTTATTTATCTATGTAAAATCCACCCATAAAGGATTGAAGGTTTTAAGTACTGGCGTAAAATCGCGCGTTTGAATTTCGCACACGTAGACATAAAATGATTTTGTCGTTCAAAGTATGAGGGGATACATAAATACATAGTCACGTAAAATGGATATAACAAAAAACAGACTTAACAGTAAAAGTAATATTAATAAATAAAATAAAATAATTGTGTGGTACAAAGTATGACGATATACATAAGTACAGAGTGTCAATAACGTAGGTTGATTGACTCGGAAGATAATTTTTGACATTGCGTACCGTATACATGGTATGTACGGTTTGACCCACAATTTGCAACATTTTTTAAGCAAACGTGTGTTTCAAAATGCTATTTCTATCAGCCACTGACATATATTGTAATGACTTGGCCAGGCGAAATTCCTTTCAAATTAAAACATGTGTTTGTACTTTCAAGCACCTACTTTCGGCTACGAGTCGATTTTTTGGCTATTTTAAAGTTTGACACCGGTTCTCACCTTTCTAATTCAATTCATTATGCTTTCAGTGTTCTATTCATTCCGTTTTCCCAGTGTTCAACCATTTTTATTTATGTATAATCGAGATAACTTATGTAGTTAAATTTCACTTTCGTACATCAGCAGCCATTTCCGGCACAGTGATTTTTGTGTATTGATTATGCAAATTAGGTTGACTGTGTATAACCTCAGGTGAACTTTATGTACCACAACCGCAAAACAGTGTATGAATACTATAGCGATTGTAGATCGATTTTTACATGATTATTGTATTAAAACGGTATTAATTATGATTGTTAATTGTACTAAGATGATTTTTATGTTCCGTAAACATATCGTTTACGTTTTAATGTACTTAATTCTAGCAATCGGGGATTCTTTTTCGTACTTGTCAGGCCCGTTTCCAGTTTCCCGTTCGTTTCCCCGTTGCAACCTCGTTTAAACCGTTCGTTGCCCTGTTAAGCCCATCGGAGTATAAAAACCCTGCACCCGTTTGCCGGAGGCTCTTCCTCCTAAGTCAGACCTACAGATACGTTGCCAGATTTTCGGTCAGTTTTTACTGTCGTATATTTCACATTCGCTGAAGTTCTTCATATTTTTATCATGAATTTCATGAGATTTTAACCCTTTCGCCGATGAGTCCCGGTTTACCGGGATTCACGCTTCAGACAGTTGACGATGAGTCCCGTTCTACCGGGATCGGATTACCTCTTTTATATTTCCCGCTCAAAACAGTGTAAAAACGAGTAATCTTTCTTTGTTGAATACCCGGATGAAAGTGTAAACATGGCGCTTCCGTTTGTTGAAAACCGTGTCAAAATCAGAGCAAATTTACGGAATTTACTAGAATTTGAAATGAGGGAACATTTTTTTTGAAAGAATATGGAAGAATTGAAGCCAAACTAATATACTTTTTTGACATAAAATGTCGTTTTATGTACAAAACACTTGGAATGGACATCGGTCAGTGAAAGGAATTTGTACAGCCTCATTAAATTTTTCAAAATTTTGCAGTTTTGGGTTAAAAAATTACGATTTTGGTTCAAAGAGCAGAATTTTGAGAATTTCACCTAGATAATGCCGAAAATTTGAAAATTTGAATATTTTATGAAGAAAAAAATATCAAAACATGAACAAAACTGTGAACATGGTGTTAGTGAATGAAATAAAGACACAAATAACTACAGACAAGTTTTTATTGACATTTATTATGAATATCTCCCACTTGAGTAATAGTAGCAAGGGAAGCCATCGTCTCAGTGTAGCTTCTGTCTGGGCAGCTATCGGTGAAAGGGTTAAGCAGTTTCACTGCAGTTTAGAATATTTGGCTTTTTAAATACACATTCGTGTAGTTTTTCAATTGTTTAGTGCAGTTGACTTTTCTAAATTACCAAATATTTGGACATTTTCTGTTCACTATAAGTCTAGTATTTTGGACTTAGATCAGAATCAAAAATGGATTTAATTCAATTGTAAATATAAATAGCGGGTCTATTTGTTCAGGCTAGTTTTCATTTGCTAACCTGTTTTCTTTGAGACAAAACGGAATAAAGTTACATGCCTTCCCCATCCCCCATTTCCTCTCCATTTTTTGGTTAAGACATATTGTTAAGTATCTTGTTTGCTGAGTTGCTCCAGTAATCAGAGAGAACATAAATAATTTCTGTATACTTTCTAAGATAGGAATAGTAAGAAGCTAGGACAATTAAATTACTCTTTTAAATACTCTCAATCTCAAATGTGATTGAAGTCTGCCTTCCTGTGCTTACTCCAGGAGGCTGAGGTTAATTGAATAATAACAAAGTACGGTTATTTTAAATATATAATTTATTACATGATATATATATGTAAACAAAGATATGATATATAAATTATTGGGTAGTTGGTTGAACACTGTGGCAAATAACTGGATACATTAATAGTTAGGAATATATTTATACTTCCAAAAAGTTGTTAAAACTGTAATTTGGTTCACTGTGATATCTGTATGAAATGCTTTACCAATAATACAAAATTATGCTCTTAAATATCTTATTTATTCATCAGTAAACTTACATAATAGTAGTCCAACTTGGTCTCTGGTTGTTGATGTCATAACACTGTCTCATGGGAGAATAGACCCTCTTGCTACGCCTAGACAAGAGCCTATTTGATTGTCAGACAGAAGGTATTCATTTGTGTGATAGTCTGTTGGTACCGTTCCTTGCGTTTCCACTTCTTGATTGATATGTTGACAATTTAGAGGTTCATCCTCTACCTTACAGAGGCAATCTGTTC